AAAAACACAGAAGAAACTGGTGTCCCGAAAAGTCTTCAGTGGGTCCTCCTGGGATACCCCAAGTGAAAAGGCAGTGGGAGGAGGACAACAACTTCTCACCTGTGAAGAGACCACGTCCTCTGGTGGACTGTGACTATTGTGGTCAAGTGTTTAGCACTAACCATAACTTACAAAGACATTTACACGATAAACAATGTCCTGAAATGGAAAATGAGGATGATGATGTTGAATCATTAAGCGATGTCACACACACCAGGAAAAATAAGATGGCTGATCTTGAAGAGCAAGGTATAAGACAAATGTATGCATGTACGCGTGAGCTGAATAAAGACTTTTTGGATGAGAAACGACAGCTGTACATGAAAAGAGGTTTAAACGAAGACATGATTCAAGCCAAACTGAAGAAATTGATCTGGAGCATGTTTAAAGAGACGTATGCCCGATTTATTACTTATCTGTACCATATGCAGTATGGACCAAAGACACAAGGAATACTGAAACGAGTAAAAGACACAAATAATATGTATCATGAAGTCATTTCAAAATTGTACCAATATAAGTCTTGGGTAGAAGACTTAATTGATGATGATTATGAAGACATGACATCTGATGTAGAGAGTGAAGGACAGGTCAACGAGGAAGGGTAATAAGACAACAGATGTAAAGTAGGCATTTGGGAGAGCTCCTATCCTAATGTCTACTCATTTGAAACGGAGCTAATAAACAATGAAATCTGTATATCTCTCTTGTTTCTTAATGTATTGTACCCATGAAGGTCTGGGTGACCCTTCAGTAACCCACGCTTGTCGTAAGAGGCGACTAACGGCATGTGAGTAACCTATGTGTCACATGATGTCAAATAAGTGTCATTAACATGGACATAAGATGGGTTTTTTTATGTTTGCAATTCGAGAGTAAAGTTTTTAAAATGTTGAGTAAAAGTGAAAGTTTTACAGGAGAACACACATTTCTTATTCAGTGATATATATGACAAATGCTAAATCAGTTTATCACTGTACAATCAAACTACTTGAGATATTCAATGACCATCTGTCCTCAACTGCTTACTATTTCCTGTATTGAATGGATCATGAAAACATCCCTTGTGATCACTGTGCATCATATTGGTTACCTATGTGTCACATGATGTAAAAAAAGTGTCATATACATGGATATAAGATGGGGTTTTTTTATGTTTGCAATTTGAGAGTAAAGTTTTTAAAATGTTGAGTAAAAGTGAAAGTTTTACAAGAGAACACATACTTCTCATTCAGTGATATGACAAATGCTAAATCATTTCATCCCTGTACAACCAAACTACTTGAGATATTCAGTGACCATCAGTCGTCACTATTTACTGTCCTTAATTCCGGTCAGACACTTGTCTCCTTACATAACGGAAGCTGACCACTTGTCAGCATACATTCAACATCACATTGAAAAATTATCCATGTCATGTACTCATGATTACAGTCTGACCTTTAAACAGCGGAAAGCTGACCGTATGTGACCACGCTGAAAATTATCACCAACCATGTACACATGATTACAGTCTGACCTTTAACCTACAATAAAACAATTTCTGGTCAACTTGAACCGGCGAGCACAGGAAGTCACACACAGGAAGCTAAACACATCAACCATCCCAGGTCCGCACCAACTGTCACCTACTTGAACATAATTTGTACACGCATAATTGATACAAATGACAGCATTAAATACTTAAAAATGGTGGTCAGTTTTAATGACTGGATGCTGGTGCTTTTAACAAACATAACACCTTACACTATTTCATACAATCACGGCTGTCACATGTCTCTTCAGTGACGGCTCAGCCAGCAAGCGATTCTGCTATGCCAAATAGCATAGTGTTTTGTATTAATGCCTATAGACTGCGCCCAATTCACGCATATACGAATCCATGTGAATTTTAACAGCCACAGCCGTTTATTGTTGACAGATATGGAAACATTCGGTGTTGTTCCTTGTGTGACAGCGTATTTTAAACTTTGATTTAACAAAATGCGCTGATATTTTGACCTTATAAATCGCAGCTAAATTCCCCCCTCATTGTGTGATATTAATTCTACGTTGAACGACGCGTATGCTTAGTCTGTCTCATAGTCCCTGAACCACATTATTTTCCCTACTGCCACATGCCCTCTCTGCAGTGCTAAAACCCTAAATAAAGCAAGTCTGGATTTCCTCAGGTTCTGAATCTCTGGGGTCATTAAGGCTCCTTTTCAATTTAAACGCGCTTGTTTGTTACTATCAAAAATTATATATATATAAGCATTAGTTTGTCGTGTGAACACTCGAGTCGGCAAACTCATACCACTCATAAGATAATTGAATAATAATCACTAAGGTAAACCTGAAGGTGACACACACACCTAGGCCGGAAAGGGGAGGGTGGGGTTCAACAATCGATTAGGTCACAGAAAGGTCACACTTATGTTGCGTCATAAAAAGAAAATGGAGGATATGGGCCAGAACCCCCCCACACTTACAACAACTGAGGGTCGTCTTGACCCACGATCCTGCATACCGTCACAATATAACTTAGAATCCCTGTCAGCATCACTCCCACAACACCCATATCCGTCCCCAACCCTAACATCAGCCCATGCCACCCCAACACAGACAGAGACCCTTATAACCTACCCCATCCCCTACCCCATTAAAATACTCGGGTGACAAAACCAGAAGAATATACAATTCAACAGATTTGTGATTTGCTTAAAAATATATAACATAATCTTAAAACTAGATGCACGATTTGCTGTAATATGGAGGCCTCACTCGCACAAACCCACAACTAAATGCATGCTAACCTCTGTTAGAACAGTTAGAGGCGACTAACAGGATCGGGTGGTCAGATTCGCTGCCTTGGTTGACACGTGTTATCGTATCCTAATTGCGATGAATGAGTGAGTTAAAATACACATCGGCAGTATTTCAGCCATATCGTGACTAAGAAAGTTGTACATATGTAAATGAATAAAAAGTTACTGTCTGCAAAGAACAGTTAAACAACTAGATTACCACAGAAATAAATTTAGAGCTAGTAATTAAATCTAAAATATTTTAACTATAAATGACAATACAATATAAAACCAGGCTATAGATTGCCAACAACTGAAAGTAGATCACCACCAAATTGCGATGATCGATGCTCATGCTGTTGATCACTGGATTATTACTCGATTATTTACAGACCGCCGCCATATAGCTGGAAAATTGCTGAGTGCAGCGTAAAACCAAATTCACTCACTCTCTCCATTAGAAGCGTCTTATTGATTGGTTGCCACCGTCATCAGCGAGGGTGAGTTCGACAGTGAACAACGTCAGTGAAGAGCATGTTGGTGTCTCTTTCGAAACAAAGCTGTGGTGGGGAAAGGGTTCAAGTTATTTCTCTCTGAGGATGACGTTACGTTATGATACACTGGGTCATTCAGGGCTTCAGGAGTGATTGAGTGAGTTTAATTTAAGTCACGTCGGCATTATCTCAGCCATATTGTGACTTGATCAAGTTATACCCCTTCTACGATACTTTTAAACAAAACATTCCACACTAAAATCTGTCAACAAAGGACAGTAAAATAACTAGATAATCACAGATAGAGATTCAAAACTAGTATGGATATCTAAACTGTTCTTCTACATAAGAAAATATAATATATGAACAAGCTATAAATTGCCAACAACTGAAAGTAGATCACCATACTAGAAACCAAGGGGACTTACAGTACATTTGCTTCCTGCTTGGACCCCAGCTGGATTTACACCATCCCTTCAGATGATAGCAATTTTACAAATCTATCCATACGCTCAAATAACATAAATACTACAATTAAAGATAGTGGTACATCTAAATTTACTGTTTTGGGACTTACGCAGGCAAACCATAGTGTATTGACCCTCGAACATTTTTAGAGGATCTACGATTCCAAGTCACGAAAATATATTCCAGCTTTAATTCAAAGCTTATCTCCAGCTTCCTCATTTGAAGTTATTTTTTAGAACCAAATATATCGAAGCAAGGTCAAAATGCTAAATATGGACAGTTAAAGACATATATGAATCTATATCCAGACACAATGTTGAACACTTTATCCCAAACCCGTGAAGATCAGGGTTAGACTATTGATCTTCAGTAACCCATGCTTGTCGTAAGGTCCGACTAACGGGATCTGGTGGTCAGGCTTGCTAACTTGGTTGTCACATGTCATCGGTTTCCAATTGCGTAGAACGATACTCATGATGTTGATCACTGGTTTTTCTGGTCCAGACTCGATTATTTATAGTTCGCCGCTATAAATAATATTGCTGAGTGCGGTGTTGTGTCACATTAAACACGTCTGGGAGGAAAAGGAGCGGTGTATACGGCGTCAACAACACTGAAGGAACTCCTCCAAAATCGTTCCTTGAGTATGGAGCGATCTTAATCAGGACCTTCATCGACGTTCAGTGGCCTAAAGGATTTTTGCCTGCATGTATGCACGAGGTTGGCACAATCACTACTGACTATGTGAACTTGCTTGAGAACCCCATCTTGTGTTGGTACTAATGTGTATACGTAAAAGTTTTACACAGGTTCTGTTTGTGTTTTGTGTGTCGCAAAACATTTTCCCCTTGAATATACATGCATATGTTTATTTTCTATACAATGGGTCAGGTAATGAAAAATATTGATGTTTAAGAGTCTTTGAATGTCCGATAGAAGTGACACACACTAACGTGAAAATCTACGGATGTCAACTTCTGTAATATGTTGAACACGATGTTGTGGAGTATATTTGTACTCCGTCACGTTAGAATATACATTCATGGGGCAAACAATGACAGAGAGCGAGGTACGCTATATATGCCGATTTTCTATGCATTACCTTTGGAAAAAGACACATAGGTATGAATTCATTGTCGTGAACAAAAATATGAAACAGATGACGACTTATATTTCCCATTACCTTTTTATGTATAGTTCATCGCCCGTCAAGCATGTCTGTTGTCGAGGACCACGACATGGGAGGTAACTCTATCAGCTTCCTGGAGGCTGATGGCTTTCGGTACCCTATCGTCGACCCGGAAATAGTTAAGGGCATGACGCAACTGAAGGTCAAAGATGACGATATCTTCCTACTGGCTTATCCGAAATCAGGTATCTTCACTGGTATATGCCTACCACACCCAAAACCATACTGAAAAAAACTGATATTAAAAAAATAGGTGATAAATCGGCAGTTACAGCAACTAAGTCAACGGTCATGGTGAATTGTTTTGTGTTTTATATCCAAAATGTAATCTACAATCAAAACGGGTATTGCTTATTTACCACTCTTATTTAGTGAAAACATCCAATTTCAGTTTGATTATTCGGTGTCTATCAACTTGAGCAATCGCAAGTGATGTTTCTATTGATCGCAAATCACGTGTACATGCACTTGTTGTTGTTTACATTGATGTTGGTGTGGAAGGCATGACATGGTTATGATTATTAAAGTATTGATCAATAAAATAGAATGATGTTTTTGGTAGATATCGTGGAGATAATCGACTGAAGAAGAAGGACATCTGTATATATCAGCATAAAAATAAAACCACTATCTACTTGTGCTATAGATGAGTACCTAAATGACATAAATGGGGTATTGTACAGGAGAAACCTACTGAAATGAAAATTGTTCTAAGTTTCTTATGCGTTTATTGAAAAAACCCATAACATCCATGCTTGTCACGTCCTCACTCACGTGCTGTCAACATGGGTCGAGAAACAACAATGCCCGTATCAGTTGTGAAGCTAATAAAGAGGGTATATTCTTTCTTTTCGTGGGAAAAGAAATTATGGAAGAATATGATAAATTTGAATCGGGTATAGCCAAGAACAGCCCGAGCTGTGGGACTATCTGTGAGTTAAGTCAGGCATCATCAATAAACAGACCACGAACGGGAGTGGAGGGACCGTCTAAAAAGTGCGGAGAGGTATAAAGAAAGTGGTTGACAGTTTTGATAGGGGCATAATCGGGCGCGCAGTTCAAAAGCTTTATCGTAGCCGCATCCCTCCCACTGTCAAACGTATCCAACATGAAATTAGGGATACTATTTGTGTTTCAAGCAGCACTTTAACACGTGTTTTGAAGGACATGGGGTTCCAATATACCAAACGAGCAGAAAATAGACATTTGTTCAGAGAAGAAAAGACTATGGTCAATCAGAGATGTGCCTACTTGAGACAGATACGGGAGCACAGAGAACTGGGGTTTGACATTGTGTATACTGATGAAACGTGGGTGAACAAAAATCATTCGACAGATATAATGTGGCTGTCATGTGACATGTCCTCTGCACCTCAGATACCCTCAGGTAAAGGGAAAAGACTCATCATTTTACACGCGGGTAGGAGAGACTGTGGTCTGATTCCAGGATGTGTTGTTGATTTCGAGGCTAACAGCAGTGAGGGTGACTATCACAAGGAAATGAATTCTCAAGTCTTCATGGAATGGCTGGAACATCAACTGTTACCAGAGTTACATAACCCAAGCGTTATTGTTTTAGATAACGCTTCTTACCATAATGTGAAGGTGGAATCAACAGTTGCCCCAGCCATGGCCAGCAAAAAGTGTGTGATGCAATCCTGATTGATAGATCATGATGTTTCTTTTGATGCCAAAGACACAAAGCCAAAACTTCTTGAACAAATAAAAGTAAACAAACCTAAACCACAGTACCAAACCGATGCTCTAGCTGGATCTCAGGGACATGTTGTTCTGAGAACTCCAGTGAGACACTGTGAACTCAACCCTATTGAACTAATATGGGTGAATTGCAAGAACTTCGTGGCGAAAAAGAACAGCACGTTCAAACTTTCAGATGTGAAACGATTGGTACAGCAAGCTTTTGAAAGGATTGACAGTGAAACATGGACAAATGCCGAAAACCATGTCGTGAAGATTGAAAATGAATACTGTGAGGTTGATGGGGTTGCTCAGAGTGCTGTCCAACCAGTGATTGTCCATCTTGATGACAGTAGCTCAAACGAGTTATGAGACGACCCTCCACTTAAAGCATGTGCATTTCATTCACGTTTTGATTGACAGACGCAATTGACATGTTATAGCCTGTTACATACTGTTTGCTGCATCAGGTATTTTGATTCATTGTAACACATATTTATCGGGTAAAGTCCTAATTTTATATGACACAGTAAAGTTTTAAAGCCCTATTGAGATAGTGAATTATTGTTAAATTTCATATTTTATGAATTCAACTACGAAGTTGATAACGTTATTGATTTATTAAAGATAACCATCCACCTAATATTTTGATTTCTACTTTAAGTTTGTGATCTAGCCTTATAATTATAATTATTGATTATAAAAAGGTAAACACTTCATGATTAAGAGAATACGATCCTAATAAATACGCTTTTGCCATGTTTCCATGGGACTACCAAGTGTAACAAATGCAGTGCTTAACGTAGATGCATCATGACGCCCAGGTACACACTGGCTTTGGGAAACCACATCCATGCTGCTCCAGGGTAAAGCGGAGACCATCCCTCACTGGAAGAGTAAAGTCATGGTGGAGTTCCAGCCACAGGAAGTCATAGACGCATTCCCAGGATCCCCTCGCGTCCTCAACACGCATGTTCGGTACAACCAACTTCCGGCAGAAGCGAGAGAGAAGAAGTGTCGAATTATCTTTGTTCTGAGAAATCCTAAGGATGTTGTCGTGTCCTCCTTTAACCATCATAAGGGTTTCAAGAATCACTATGGGAACTACAATGGGTCGTTTAAGGATTATCTCCCTTTTTACCTGGCTGGGAAAAGTAAGTCATTTGTCATTTCTTTGTTCTTTTGTTTGGTGCGGATCCTAGCTTATGGTTTGACCATTTGATATTCAGATTACAGAAACTCTTTTCAGCTAGTTACTGGTGTCTGGTGTATTTCAGGTCATACCTTTTTGTGAATATTCGTCCTGAACAACCTGACAATTTCACAAAATTTTGGTCCTTTCCGATTTAATCAAACAATGACCTGAGTTCTGAGTTATTGTGACCCATCTCATCAAACAGCACAAAAACGGAAAATGAGAGAGCAGACGGCAATTTTGGGCTGATTATGGGACAGTAACGTGCATAAACTACAAATTGAATATGGTAGATGTTTATGTCGCGTGGAATGCGCCGCATTATAATAACGATTTAATTTTCAAAGACCGTGACGCAGAATGCAAAGTGACGAATAATTTAGGCACCAATCTGTATAACATATAAACCAGCACCATTACCTTCTTGTAGCGGACTACGGGTCCTGGTTCGACTATGTCCTGCAGTGGGAGAAGGACATCGAGGCCCAGCAAGACCGACACCCTATACACATAATGTACTATGAAGACATGAAGCAGGTCAGAGATTTCACAGCTTATGTTAACGAAATAAATGTGTGAAACAAAAAGCTCAATTTGTAACGAGGCATGCTATTCAGGGAATAATGATCATCACACACAATACTGGCCGTCTAACTTGAGATGGAATTTGTGATGAGGGAGAAAAGCCAGCTCCTTGTATATCCAGGGTATTAGTAATCTTAATACAATGCTCGTCTTCTTGTAACTTGTAACTTGTGACATGAGCGGCAACCATTAGCCCCCATGTGGTTGTAGTACACCCCTAAACACTCAAATCCAACTTTATAACACACCACTGCCCCTATAGAATATCAACCTGTGCAATATGTTAAATTTACCCCATTGGTAACGAGAGGTTCGTCTAGTTACAACACGATTTGTCCTGGCTTTTGATTGACAGGCGTAGTAATGCGTAATCAAAAGCCAGGACAAATCGTGTTGTAACAAGACGAACCTCGAGTCGTGGGTGGGGTAACAGACTTGTACCATGAGATTCCGGCAGTGTGTTTCAAACAAAGTGGCGGGAAAATGAGTGCACCATATGACGTCATGAATATCACGTCATACGCGCCATCTTAGGTCGTTTAAGTTTTCAAAAATTAATTCTCAACCATGGAGGACGTGGAAACAACTTTCTTACCCAGCAGTGATAGCGTGAATGAGTGCAATGAGGAAATTGATGATATTACACTTTCCCAAGTTGGTCAGGCGATGGAGTTGAATTTAAAGTTTCACTCCACAAACCACTCCGGGAAGCGCACGTGTGCTACACGTTTGTACGAAGAGGGAGTAGAAGAGCAGGATATAAGGTGAATAACCGGGCACAGAAGCGCTGAGGCAGTGAGAAAATACAAGCGACCGTCACAGTCTATGTTGTCAGCCATCGAAAACAAACTGGATCAACCTCTTGCACCTAAACAAATGAAAATGGAGCCCTCTGCCACTGTAAACGTGGCGTCGCAAGTCACGGAGACGGCGGCATCCACACCATCTATTGTGTATCAAAACTGCATCTTTAACTTTTAATTCCAGATTAAAAAAATCAATCAGACGAACTGTATCGGAACTGTTTCCTTCAATTTCAATTCAGGATTGAAAACAATCTAAATGTTAATTTCTTTGCTCTTTTTGTAGTTTTATACAAATGTTTTAAAATGATGTTCATTTGTTCCTAAATAAATTTGTCAACATTGTACTTGTTTTTATGTTCTACAATGTATCTCAACTTCCTTCTGGTGAAACCTGTTTACGATGACGTCATAGTTTCGGCACACGAAAGGGGGCGGAGCGAGCATTATCCAGTGAGAATCAGTAGGGCGAAACCATGTAGTAACTAGCAGGTTACAACATGGGCAACATCAACGAGACGCTCTCAGCAATATTCATGTTATATACAATATATGATAGAGTCTGGACTAAACATCATCGGACAGAAATTGAAGGGTGCTGTCCTCACCCGGAGTTGGTGATTCAGTTGGATTTAACGTCTCTTTGAACAGAATTCCATCTATGTAAACACGAGACTAACTTGGTACCAGTGCATGTTAATACTGTTCTTAGACGTGTTCTACTTGATTGGTTGGTGTTAAACGTCGCAGTCAGCAATATTCCATCTATATGGCGGCGGTTTGTACATAATCGAGTCTGGACCAGACAACCCGGTAATCAACAGCATGAGCATCGATCTGCGCAATTGGGAACCGATGACGTGTCAACCAAGTCAGCGAGCCTGACCACCCGATTCCGTTGGTCGCATCTTACGACAAACATACTGCTGAAGACCAATTCTAACCCGAATCTTCTCGTGTCATTCCACTTGCATGGGCATGTTGACAAACGTGAAAAAAACATAGTCTGGTCGAACCTAACTTCGAACCCAAAATCTCCGGTTTCTGGCATGCCGAAGAGTTGTAACTCTGTAAACTGAACTGAGATGGGTTGAAAGCCTGGACCAACAATATCCCCTTTTTAAACCAGAATCACCATAAACATTTTGTTGAATAACGATGGTCTTGTCCTCAGAACCCCTTGGAGGAAATCCGGAAGTTGGCAGTGTTTCTGGGAGTACATGCTGATGACTCACTCTACAGCGCCGTGGCAGAGAAATGTTCTTTTAAGAATATGAAGGACGACAAGAAACCATATGATCCCAAGTTCAATGGCCAGCTTATTGTTTATAGGAAAGGTAAGCTGAAGGAATGAAGGGTATATAGCTCCGTAATTGCTATTGTTCGTTCCGCTTGTTATATAACGACGCACTACTGACACACTTCCATTTTAAGAGACTTAATAGTATATATAATAGCGGAACTGGATCACTCCCCTTCTTCCAGCCCTTTCGGCTCAGTTTGGCTCCCAGTCCCCACTAAAAATCAAGGTCTATGAGCGGGACATCCTTGGATGTCCCCGCTCGTATGAAGGTTGAAGACTTTTTAAATATTGAATAGTGGACTTTTCACTGTTTGTTGCAGTCGCACTACTTTGTAGCAACAGTTGCACTAAGGCATCAAAATTTGTTGATATTTTTTTTGCTTACAAGTGCACATACTTGGTCAGTGCTACTTGTTTTGGTACTTTTTTCTGGCACACACAAAGTAGCCCAACACACAGAACACAGTCGTACACATAAAGTAGTCGTACACAAAAAGTAGTCCAATGTATAGAACCCAGAAAAGTAGTCCAACACAAAAAGAAGTCCAACACAGAAATTAGTCGAAAACAGAAAAGTAGTCGAGCACAAAAAGTAGTCGAACACACAGAAAAAGGTCGAACACAAAAGAGCAGTCCAACACAGAAACGTAGTCCAAGACACAGAAAAGTAGTACAACATGTAGAGCAGAAAAAGAAGCTTCCCAAGAAATTGCATAGAGAAAATGGAAAAAAGTGACACACATGCACACACACGCCGAAGGCCCGGGTTCGATTCCCCACATAGGTACAATGTGTGAAGCCCATTCCGGGTGTCCCCACCGGAATATTGCTAAATCCGGCGTAACACTCACTCACTCACTCACTCACTTTGTTCCTCGTTCCAGGCCAAGTGGGAGACTGGCAGAACTGGCTCACACCGGAACAGAACGAGATGTTTGACAAGCTGTACCAGGAGAAGATGAAGGACAGCAAGTTCAAGGACAAAATGAGGTTCACACTGGCATAGGCACATTGTAGGATATGACACACCACGTATGCTAAATGGTATATATAATGACGGAATCACATACACAGTAATCACTACACCCATGGACACAGCCAACGCTGTAGTAGCTGCTGTTCTAGTTTACATATTTTATCCATAATATTGTTTGCAGAACACACGGAGAATGAGAAATCATATCTCAAGCCACATACAGCACGCATGCATTTAGTCAGCATAGCAATATTGTTCAAAGCGATTGTTGAGAATATCAACCTCATTATTACTTCATGCTTGACACGCTAACCTGATAATGACAAATACAAATGGGTATTTGAAATTTGACTACTGCATTTTCTTTTGGTAGTATTGGACATGAAATTGGAGACAAGAAGATATTTAGTGGCTTCAGTCTGGGCTAGTACAAGCATCCGCACATACACATACACACGCATGCACGTCGTCATATGAGCGAAATATTCTGAAGCACGACGTTAAACCCAGTTTCACCTCACCTCACCTCTACACAAGGTAAAAAAAATCTCTTTTAAAGAGGCCCTGTTGTTGGGCTGTATCACAGCTGAGGTGAAATTGGGTTTAATGTCGTGCTTGAGAATATTTCATATGACGACGTGCATGCGTGTGTATGTGGATGTGTGGCTGCTTGTACTAGCCCAGACTGAAGCTGGTTTTATAGTGCTAGCTCACTGAGATACCATGCCGCAGTAAAGCATTAATGCCCCACTCAGACACATTATACTGACTCTGAGCCGACAGTCCTTCTTGTGCCCATTAATGCCCGGCGCCAGACAGGGACCAAGAAGAACCATATTTTAACGTCCTTTGGTATGACGCGGTCGGGGATCGAACCTACGACCTTCCGCTCTCCGGGCAAACGCTCTAACCACTGCACCACGGAGGCGGTCCAGCTGACAGAGGGTAATCTTTAAATTTGGAGAAACTGATAAATACTACGTATTCTTTTGAATGTAAACATTGAACGTTTAGGAAAAGATACTTTTCAACTATTGCTCACAACTATATATGTAACCTGGGGCTAAGAGTTTCCGGTCAAATCAACTGTGAACAAAAAAATGCTGATGCTGACGTGACATTAGAATATATTTTATGTGAGCTTCATTCACTTAACAACTTTAACTCAACAATTGGAAATTAAAACGGTTGGATGTCGGAGTGTGTTTTTTTCTTTTCAAAATAAGATATTAACTACATGTGAGTTGTCAGCGTCGTCTCTAAAACCAAAGTGTCCTCCAACACATGGCATAGTTTGAGTTGCTGATTTGAACAGGGTGGTTGGTCTGACCGTATCGTGTTTTGTAATGAAATCATTTATATTATTTATTTGTTTCCTTCTGGGACAAACGTTTTGCACCAAGACATCTTATTCCCCATTGTGTTTGGCACCATAGCTTCGGTAGGACACAGAGGTATGATACCTCTGGTGAATGGTATGATCTTGGTAGGCTGCCAGGAACAGAACCCTTCTGACACTCTGGGTAATGTAGTGGACAACTGCTGTCCAGATTATTCTTTGTGTGTTTGACTAGACAGCGCTTCCTGGGAGAAGTCCCATGAACTGTCTTGGTTGCTAGTGATGGGGCAAAGGTCCTGAGCTCATGATGCCAGTGCCAGGAGATCCCGAACCCTTTATGTCCCATCTGTTTTAATCAGTGCATTATAAACCCGAAATAATGAGTGTACAATGCCATGTTCTCCATAAAGTCAATGAAGGCGCAAAGCACTGGCATTGTATCCGGTCAAAGGATCATTGTACACTCTATTTCCGTTTCCTTGGGAGTATATAACCAACAAAACTATGTTATTTAGAAGCATGTAAATGATTCGTCATAAGTTCTTTTCAGTACATATTCTTGAACAACACAGCAAAGTATTACATCTACAATTTCACTTCCTACAGTTTAAAACTGTGAGTGTTTTTGTGAAAGATTCACGAAACATTCTCACTGAGTATTCCTGGTGATATCATGTTGTGAGTGAATATGGTTTTGCCGCTTTTAGCAATATTCGAGCTCAGGACACCAGAAACATGCTTCTCACTTTGTGCCAATGTGGGAATCGGAAGCCAATGGTTTATTCACCCTGGGCCAACAGATCAGGAGGTACCAAACCAAGGGCACCAAGAACAATGGGTAGTCTGACGACAGTGTACTTGGGACCAAAGCAAGACATTACAAAAGCGAGGTCCGCATATGCATTCAATAACACGGATGAATTTATTTAATTTAAAAAAATCAGGTTTGTTGGCAGGAATTTGTCTTCTGCTGTAGATGGACCTATTCCATATAGGCACCATTTTCCATGACGCCCTGGACATGCTGAGGCTCAGAGCAACAAGCACGTTTAAAGTGGTAATGGAAACAACGTCTAAGATATGCTGTTTGTGCCAAGGAAGAACACGCCGACTTCATCCGGGCGAAGGAGTCAGTTATACTGCTATTCTGTTCCACACACTGCATTTCTGTTTCTAACATATCTTCTCCTCAAATGAACGACTCTGGGCAGACTTGGTGAATGATTTCACCTGGTTTTCTACCATCGCCGTACCGTCCAGCAATACATAAACGGCATAAACGAAATCAAGCTCAACTTGATTCTGTCCAACAGCCTTGAATTGGTTAAAATAGCTCAGAATGTCCTAGCGTTTCATCAGATATATAATGGACTTGTAAATGCAAACATATGGAACTCTGGACAAAGAATTTGCAGTTACATTGTCGCCATGTACTTCTCCATAATTAAATAACAAAACTCGTGTTTTTGCGGACAGTGGTATGGAAGGATGGAGAGGTGTCATGTGTTACGAAGACAATGCATCGTGTACATCGCCTACAAGATAAGAAACATACAACCCTACTACCCAAATCAAAGATGTTAAAACATTCTTATTCCAACTTGTTTGCTAGGATCTTTGGTAATCCTCATGGTAATGATATAGCTGGTACTTCTGGAAACATTTACTGTTACAATTGAAATTTTGTAATTGGTTTTCAATAATCTGTCTCTCGTCATTGAGCCTGAGCCTTGAGAATTTAGTGGTAACTGTTTCAGAATCTGGGGCACCTTCGTGAACTCTTTTTTAAACAGTTTCTGGTTCCCGGTTATTGCTGACTGCCTGACTGAGTTTAGTTTTACGCCGCTTTTAGCACTATTCCAGCAATATCACGGCGGGGGACACCAGAAATGGGCTTAACATATTGTGCCCATGTGGGGAATCGAACCCGAGTCTTCGGCGTGACGAGCCAACGCTTTAACCACTAGGCTACCCCACAGCCCCTCCCGGTTATTGAGTTATGAATGTTGCAAAAACGGCGGAATAATGTAGCTTGTAATGCACACGTCATGTATGACGATATTGAAATGTAATATACGATAGGAAATATATTGTCATATTTTCAATTCTTAATGTGACTAATGAAATCTTCAAAGTTTAATCATATATGCATGTGCCAAAACATATTTTCAAAGCCTCAATAACGCACAGATTTGTCGACGCATGTGAGAGAGCTCACTGACATGCAAATCTTTATCCACAAACCAACCCGTTACCAGTCAAAGCACCCAATAGCATACGCATCCTTCCCCCAAAACAACCTCTGTCACAAGTTTCACTTCAACCTTTAAATTATCACAAGTCAAATCACCGAAAAATTACACATACACTCTTGCCGACAAACCATCCTGTTACAAGTCAATAGCTCTATCACTCTCTTTCTCTCTTCCTGCCGCAATGTGTGACATTATACATGCCAACTAGTAAAAGTTGGAAAAACTATTTTGGAATGATTTCATAAAATGAATTACCCTGTCCCTACGCCGTGTGGCAAATGTGCATGTCTCACACGGATTGCATGTCACCGGGATATGAGGTTAGATACTGTTTGGCCTTTACGCTAATGATAGCAGCGGGAATATGTCAAGTGCAGCGTTAAAAATCAAATTACAGTCAGACAGTGGAAGGTTGCCTTGACGAAACTGTATAGACCCCAGTCTGTACACTGACGCCTCACTATGTGCGAGGTAAGGACGCTCACTATAAAGTACTTAACTCCATGAACAGTTGATCGTATTCCATGATTTTATTAACATGATTCTGTCTGCATCGATGAGCTTGCCAGTGACTTGAGCTACAGTGATACACAATCACATATAACCAAAGCAACTATTTAATGGGAGCTTAACATAGAAAGTGTGCGTGTGTCAATATACGCTATGTACAGAGCAATGTACCCTGCCAGATCAAACTGATCAGTAAAGGTTGCTTGGGTTATTTTCGTCTAGAATATTCACTTATGGTTAAAAATATACTGTATACAATCGAACTCAACTTTGGTTAGTTGAATTGGTGTCACCCTGTTGACTCGCTGCATGTCATCGTGACCCAGTACTCTACAGCGCGTTTCAGTTCCCCTGTTGGCTCGTTGTGTGCCATTGTTACCCATGGCCAGTACTCCACAATGCATTTCAGTTCCCCTGTTGGCTCATTGTATGTCATCGTGACCCAGTACTCTACAATGTATTTCAGTTCCATTGTTGGTTTGTTGTATGTCATCTCGACCCAGTACTCCACAATGCATTTCAGTTCCCCTGTTGGCTCGTATGTTATCGTGACTCAGTACTCCAAAATGCGTATCAGTTTTCCTGTGGGTTCGTTATGTGTCTACAATGCATTTAGGTTCCCCCCATGGATGCTGAGTGTCATCGTGACAAGCCCTCAAACTCCCTCAGAGATGGGATCGTTGTGTGTCATCGTGAGTAGGGACTCCACATGACCCAGGACTTCACAAAGCACTTAAATTGCTCACAGATGTGTTCAAAACGTTTGTCAAACATACTGGTAGGTAAGAATTTCTACACTGTGACATGAACACAACCATGAAACAAGTAACGACATATATTCCTCATTATCGTTTTATCTGTGGTCCCCACAGTGTTACGTCGGCCATTCAAGCATGTCTATTGTCGTAGACCACGACATGGGAGGTAACTCTATTAGATTCCTGGAGTTCAATGGCTCTCGGTATCCAATCGTTGACGCAGCAACAGTCAAGGGCATGTCGCAGCTGAAGGTCAAGGACGACGATATCTTCTTACTGGCATATCCCAAATCAGGTATCGTCACTACCGTATCCCTCCTCTTTCTTTCATCGTTTGACATATCATTTACCAGATATTCAGATATTTGCAAACACTGTCGATCCTGAAATGCTGAGAACTTATCTCCTCATGTTATCACCATTTGCACAAGAGTGTTCGTCTGTACACTATGGAGGGACCCGTGAAGACCACGATTAGAATAGGTCTTCAGCAACCCATGCTTGTCGTAAGAGTGGAATAACTGGATAGGGTGGTCAGGCTCGCTGACTTGGTTGACACATTTCATCGTATCCCAACTGCGTAGATCGATGTTCATGCTGTTGATCACTGGCTTGTCTCGTCCAGACTCAACTATTTACAGTCCACCGCCATTGAGCTGGAATATTGCTAAGTGTTGCGTAACACTAAACTCACTCGCTCACCATAATAACGGGGTAGGGGGTACACTACCTCTGCACACAAAAGTGAGTGGGTTTAGTTTTACGCCGCTTTCAGCAATATTCTAGCAATATCACGGCGGTGGACACCAGAAATGGGCTTCACACATTGTACCTATGTGAAGAATCGGGCCCGGGTCTTCCGTGTGACGAGCAGACCCACAGCTTAAACAATAGGCCGTTTTCTGTCGTGTCTCGATAGGCTTATCAAGCCAAGCTGTTAAGTATTAAATTATTATATGTAGTTGTTTGCTTTCTTTGGACATATAATGTTTTATGTTACAATGTATTAAAGACGTGCGACAACTACAACCCTTTCACAACTACCCTTTAAATTCGCCTCTCGTGTCATGCAGGATTACCAGTACTACTACACCCTCACCCTCGATAAGGTGCCTGACTGAGGGTGTAGGTTCGAATCCCGGATGGGACTCAACTCCAAAGCACCACAATTTGTACTTTACTAAGACAGTGTAATCCCAAATATAGTATATATTACATTTGACCACTTTCTAAATGGCATTGTGTAATCGTCAGGGCCAAGGTATGGAGGGACGGAGGGACAGTAAAGTGGGCCGATCAGATGGACAGTGATGGACCCTGAGTATATAGTGATATTTGAAGAGAGCGTTCATAGCCTGTTTCCAGGTGTAACAGTAAAAAGTATTAATTGGATGTTCTGCGTATCACCTCCAACTGAGCAGGTTGGATGTGTATTTTCTCGGCATTCAGACTACTAATAGTCTGGCAATGTGAATTTTGAATTTCATGAATTATAATTTAATAATAAAAAGTTGTCTATATAAGCTATCAGTATGTCTTTAACATCGTAACTGTCAAGGGTATTAGGCGGCTAACGATTGTGCATGTAGTTTTTGAGTAAAGTGACTAAACACCGTCGCGGCAAGTGTTGTTTTCTGCCAGACTGTATGTAAGACACTTGAACGTCAAAGGTAGAATCACATACTGTTGGAGACCCGTAAAGGTCCGGGTTAGAATATTGGCCTTCAGTAGCCTATGCTTGTCGTAAGAGGCGACTAACGGGATCGGGTGGTCAGGCTCGCTGACCTGGTTGACATATGTCATCGGTTTCCAATTGCGCCGATCGATGGTCATGATGATGATCACTGGATTGTCTGGTCCAGACTCGATTATTTAGAGACCGCCGCCATATACCTGGAATATTGCTGAGTGTGGCGTAAAGCTCAACTTACTCACTCATACTGTTCGATGTTGTTTGTTGTTGAACGTTCCTCTCAGCTATATTTCACCTATAGTATTGTGGCCTGTCAAGCTGTCCACAGTGAAGAGCCCACACCTAACTTTGTTGGTATTAGGTGGCAGTATTCACGTATAGGTTTGTTCGGTTTGATAGTTGTTTGTTTAACAATAAGCTCAACATGTTTCTTTTTCTGTAATCCAAATCCAGAATGTAAGTTGTTTTAAAGAAAATAACCTTATTTCATTGTGTCATAGCGACCTGAAAATAGTCGAATCACGTAGTAAGATAAAAACTATGGCCTGATTAGGTCAGGTTGCACACACACAAAAATTACCTTATTGCACTGGGTCATAGCGACCTGAAAATAGTCGAATTACGTAGTAAGATGAAAACTATGGCCTGATTAGGTCAGGTTGCACACCAGGATATGTTTGGTTCATTTATATATCAAGATGGAGCTGAAAACCTACTTGTGACATGGTTCAGAATGTCATCATAAGGTTCTACAGACACATAGATCGGATGTCTGGCGAACTTTCTCTCAAATGGCAACCCGCTTCTACACCAAGTTTTTTTGATGCTAGACACAGCAAATGGTAACACACAGATATCACATGTTAATGTTAAATACAATGTATGGTACAAATACACCTAAACTGAAGAATAGTTAGTGAGTGAGTTAACATTGATACAAGCATCAGCAACTCAAGTAAAAACACCATGCTGGAGACCATGAGGACTTACAATACCTTTGCTACCTGCATGCACCATACCAGGACTGATGAATATCGGTGTCCATATTCTTAAATATCTAAAATAGTTTACAATTTTAAACATTTCCTTGTGTATTTATCGTTAAGCGTTACCAAACAAAAATGAAAAACCCATACATGATTTTAAGTACGCTGATATTTCCGCTTTGTCTCACACCAATATTCAAAAAAATGTACTCATATTCATGCCACAAGTTCTACACGTGTAAATGCACAATCTATTAAATAAACGTCGGTTAAACAGTAAAGTTTGAAGTACACGGGAAACACTGAGTAAAATATAAATATAATATACTTCTTATCTATTTCAAGCTGAAACAACTCTCGTTTTTCACTTTGTGACCAGACACTCATTCACGGACATGCGCTGTCCCGACTCTTGGGTCATCGTAGTTTGCATGGGCTTACACGTCTTAAGCCCTGCAACATATCGTCTTGTTTGCAGAGCCCACTGAACTGGTCTCGTGATGACAACGATTCCTTACAAAGGCTGTCGACTTTATTAGTATCTACGTGCACAAATCCGAAAATGTCAGAAAAGGTTGCCTAGTCCGTTAAAAAAATAAAATATATACATATTCATGATAACTAAACACCCATCTGTTGTCTGTTGAAATCAATTCATCCCATTATATTCATATTTCGGCAGGCTTTGCATATTTGGTAAAGTTAAAGTTGAAAAGAGGAAAGATACAATTCGCTTACTTCTCCAAACGTTCACACAAAACTTCATAATGTTCAGGAAGACGAATAGAAATGGTTTATATTTCGAGACGGGATGGAAAGGGAGAAAGAAACACACAAACAACTACATCCCAAGGTACGAAAAGTGTAGTCATTTTCTCCCAATTTTAAAATAATGTAAAAAAACAATTAGAGACTCCATTATCATGAGACATTTGAGTCCATAGTAAATATTCAGATATAGGAACATATGTGAAGGTGTACTCATACTGCCCCTCCGATGAACTCATATCTGTACCTGATACTATACCTGATACTATACCTGATACTGTACCTGATACAATACCTGATAATGTACCTGATTATACCTTATACTATACCCGATACTATACCGGATTATACCTGATACTGTACCTGATACTATACCTGATACTATACCGGATACTATACCTGATACTGTACCTGATTATACCTTATACTATACCCGATACAGTACCTGATACTATACCTGACACTGTACCTGATTGTACCTGATACTATACCTGATTATACCTGACACTGTACCTGATTATACCTGATACTATACCTGATACTGTACCTGATTATACCTGATACTGTACCTGATTATACCTGATACTGTACCTGATACTATACCTGATTATACCTGATACTATACCTGATACTGTACCTGATACTATACCTGATTAAACCTGATACTTTACCTGATACTATACCTGATACTTTATCTGATTATACCTGATACTTTACCTGATACTATACCTGATTCTTTACCTGATTATACCTGATACTATACCTGATACTGTACCTGATTATAGCTGATACTGTACCTGATGCTATACCCGATACTATACATACAAATACTTCTATAGCGCCAGAATCCGATGTAATCTCCCAAAGGCGTCCACGCTGGAGCTAAAGGTAAGCTTTGGTAAAAAGATGAGTCTTTAACTGGCTTTTGAAAGATGCAAGTTCAGTCAGTGATCGAAGTTCTTGTGGTAGATTTTTCCAGAGTTTTGCACCATTTGAAAAGAATGCTCGGTCACCAAAAGACTTTGTTCTTGTACATTGAATTTGCAGAAGAGATTGGTCACTGGAGCGAAGAGATCGGGTTGGCACATAGCGTTTTACAAGTTGTGAAAGATACCCTGGAACCAGTCCATGGATGCATTTATAAACAAGAAGCAATACTTTGTATTGGATTCTGAATTTGATCGGCAGCCAATGGAGGTTTTTCATGACAGGGGTAATGTGGTCAATTTTCTTTGTTCTGCTGATCAATCTTGCGGCTGAATTCTGGACTCTCTGTAGTTTGTGTAGCACATGATTTGGAATACCACTGAGCAACGAATTGCAGTAATCAATGCGTGATGTTACATACGCCTGCACCAGCTCACTCGTTGTTTTCTCGTCAAGGTACCTGCGTATCAGGCCGATATTCCGAATATGGAAATAAGCGCTGCGACAAACACTGTTGACATGTGGTTCCATGCAGAGAGATGAGTCAAATACTACACCAAGATTCCGGACTTGAGAACTTGGTGTGATTTCACAGTGCCCAATAGAGAAAGTGGGAAGATCAAGTTTTGCCCCGAGCCGCTGAGGTCTGAAAACGATGAGCTCGGTTTTGTCGTCATTTAATTTCAACCAGTGCCTTGACATCCAAATTTTGATACAATCAACACATTCCTGGACTGCTGTGAATGTGAAAGATGTTGAGGCAGAATCGAGTGGTTTGAAGGACACGTAAACCTGTGTGTCATCCGCATAAAGATGCATACTGAGGTTAAAGGACCTGACAATATCACCAAGAGGGGTTGTGTAGGCAGTAAAAAGCAAAGGGCCCAGAACTGAGCCTTGTGGTACCCCAAACACTAAGTCACTAGACAGCGACATTTGACCTTGAATAACCAATGATTGTTTCCTGTCTGAGATGTAGGACTTGAACCACTTTAACACGACGCCTTTGACATTGAATCTTCCTTCAAGAGTGGCTAGAAGAACATTGTGGTCAATCGTGTCAAAAGCGGCTGAAAGGTCCAACAAGACGAGAATGGAAGCACCGTCCTTGTCAGTACCCATGAATATGTCATTCTGCACTTTGACAAGTGCCGTTTCCGTGCTGTGGAAGCAGCGGTAAGCTGATTGATAGACTTCATGCAACCCATTGCTGTTCATATGATCCTTGAACTGTGTTGCAGCTATGCGTTCAATCAATTTGGAAATGAAAGTCAAATTGGACACGGGTCTGTAGTTTTTCAACAGTTCATGGTCAAGTTTCTTCTTTTTGATGAGTGGGGTAACCACTCCAGTCTTTAATTGTTGGGGCATAACGCCCTCCGCAAGCGATTCATTGACCATGTTAATCAGTATGGGGAGAAGAGAATCAACATTCTCCTTGAGAAGCCAAGTGGGCAAAGGATCAAGCATGCACGTTTTTGAAGGGCATCTTGAGACAAGTTTATGAATTTCAACTTCTGTCACTGATTTGAAGTTTTCAAAAGCTGGAAAGCTAATTTCGGAAGAATCATTGCTTGGCTGATCAGCTCGGGAGTCGTCACTATTACGAAGTGAGTGACGAATAGTTCTTATTCTCTCGCTAAAGAAGGATGAAAACCGGTTCGCCAGCTCCTCCAGGGATACGTGAGAAGGAAGACAAGAGACTTCTGTTTAAAGAATAGTCGGTTGGCAACTTTAAAAACCTCTTTTTGACCAGTCGCCTGACTGAAGGCCTCTTTATAAAACTTGCACTTAGCAGCTTCAATAAGGAAAGCCAGTTTGTTGCACTGCTGATTGTGTATCTGTCTGTGCACCTCAAGCTTGGTCTTCCTGTACTGGCGCTCAAGTTTGCGCCTCTGTCTTTTAGCTACACGAATGTCCTCGTTTAACCAGGCAGATTCTGGATGAATTGTCACTGTACAGGACTTGACAGGAGCGTGTTTGTCGGCTAGCTTCGTCAACTCGGAGTTATATAGATCAACACTTTCAGATATGGACATGATTCCAAAGTTAGCACAAGATCTTAAGATATAACTAGAAAATTCTTGACTATCAACATTCCTCCATTTTCGATAGCTGACAACTTTTCGGTACCTTTTCTGAACTTGTATACTGGCAGTGAAGTGAACACACAGATGGTCCGATTTCACAGAATGATCAAACTTGATATTCTTAATGCCAAGTTCATTCCCTCGAACAATAACGAGGTCGAGAATATGTCTGCGTCTATGGGTGGGTTCCTTGACAACTTGCACTAGCCCATACGTGTCCAGGAGGTTGAGAAGTCTCTTCCCATCCACATCACTATCACGATCAATATGATAGTTGAAGTCACCGCATACAATAAGTTTGCCAGTGATGGTCGTCAAACTTTCAAAAAGAGTATTAAACTCATCCAAAAATATTTTGCCAGAATTTGGTGGTCTGTACAAAACAATGAGATTTAAACATTGATTGTCCTATAAGAACTGAACTGGTAAAATTTCAAAAGAAACAAAATAGTTCCCAAGAGTCAATATCTGCATTTTAAGTTAATCATCATAAACAACTCCAACTCCACCCCCTTTTCTGGAAGTTCATGGCACATGCATGAATTTGAAGCCCGGGGGAACAAGTCTATGTATTGGTAGATTATCACTGTCATCAACTTTTAACCACGTTTCAGTAACAGCCAGCACATTTAGTTTATTATCCGAAATAAGATCATGAATACTATGGGTTTGGTCATTTTGATGTTCCTGTGTGACAAGTGATCTGGCATTCAATAATCCGATCTTGATGTTGTAGTCTTTATAAGTGGGGAGAGATTCAGTTGTAGAGATTTAGATTTTTTGTTGCCACGGCAACCACGGCGGGTTCGTTTTATTCGACAGATACCTAAGTATCTCAGAGTGCTGAGAGTGTTGAGAGGAATTTTAGTTTTCTCTCTGTTCTGAGACAAAAGAAACGATTAACTGTATGACGACAATGCACAGAATAGAAACAAGAGCACAACTCTGATGATAGACTCCATGTCGAGCTTGTGTCACTCACAGAGTCAGGGTGAGAGCTGGTGATGATGTAACACTCAGGACAGGGCAGCCAGGAGAGAACAATAGACAGTCACTGTATGAATGCTATCCTGAGACGAATGGCTTGGGTATGAATTCACTCACTTGGTTGGAAAATTTGAAATTGTCAATAGAAAGTTACATTTTCAGAAATATAACTATACCTATACCTGATTATACCTGATACTGTACCTGATACTATACCTGATTATACCTGATGCTATACCTGATACTGTACCTGATACCATACCTGATTATACCTGATATTATACCTGATACTATACCTGATTATACCTAATACTATACCCGATACTATACCTGATTATACCTGATACTGTACCTGATACTATACCTGATTATACCTGATACTATACCTGATTATACCTGATACTGTACCTGATACTATACCTGATACTGTACGTGATACTATACCTGATTATACCTGTAGTACTTACCAATTGCTATCACTCACACAAATGTTTCATATGCGGAAATAGTACAGAGATACTGGTCAGAACACACACACACACACACTGAATTATGCTTTGAGTTTGCAGTACGTTAAAAGAATGAAAACCATAAAATATTCATGATAACTAAACATCCTCCGTTGTCTGTTGAAATCACCTCATCCCATTTCATTCAGAATACTTCGGCAGACGTTGTAGTGCATATTTACTAAAGTTAAAGTTGAAAAGAGGAAAGGTACAATTCGTTTACGTCTCCAAAAGTTCATAAAAAATTCATCAGAAGGCGATTAGAAATGGTTTATTTTTCGAGACGGGATAGAAAGGGGGAACGACACACAAAAACAACTGCATCCAAAGGCACGGAAAGTGTTGTCATTTTCTCAGAACAACAATCAGAAACCCAATACCCATCATCATAAGAAATTGAGTCCATTGTAAATATTCAGATAAAGGAGCATGGGTGAAGGTGAACACATACTGTGAACACACTGAATTATGCTTTGATTTCTCAGTACGTTAACGTCCTGTATACCAGCATGGGTTGCTGAAGATCAATTCTAACCCGGATCTTCACGGGTGAAATCCAATTGAGTTGTCAGGAGGACTCAAAGACAAACCAACCTATAGTACCATATATATACAAACACACATCTATCCCAACATACCCATCTCTCATACCCCTCACACAACATATCTAAACATTTAATCTTTCTTCCGAGCTACTCCCATTTCTTGTACAGGAACCTTGGTTACAAGAAAAGACAATAAATTGCCCTGTCTCCCCGAGTTAAATCAAGTCTGCATGTTTCATATGGAGTGTCAAATCCCCGGGTAATGTGATTGGACATTATTTGACCTTGACTCGTGTAATTGCAACTGGTAAATGCGGAGCGAAGTGTTTATCAAACATAAACTACATGCAGTGGAAGATTAGTAGGTCAAAAGACTGCATCGACAAGGAAACCGATTCTCACTTCACACGCATCACTTTCATCGAGGTAAGAAAGCTGGACAAATAAGTTAACTTCATGAATAATTACTTTTTCTGGTGAATGTAGATCGATACTATTTTTGTTCCGCTGATGTGAGAGTGATCTGTGTGTTTTGAATTTTACCCAGATACGGTACCTCTGCAATTTGAAATTGTGGATACGAGTCAAAACTGGTTAGTTAACTATTTAAGCGTAAACTGAATATTTCTTAACTTACTTAAAATGACACACCCCGACACTGGACTAATTTAACTGCATTTGATAATCTAAATGTAATTGTAACTTTTGCAGAGCTCTTTCTTATAGTGAATTATGCACTATGATAGATATTAATTTACAACAAAAGCTTGTCTGACAGAATGAACTAGCAAGTGTGTGTTTAGCTACGACGCTTAACCCATAGCACAGTGATGTGATACTGTGACCCCTCATAAATTGTGTCAAGGCACGTATATTCATTAACATATTTCACTTACTCTGTGGATTGGTTGAATGTGTCTCATCATGACACAATACCTCACAATGTATCTACTATCCCTGGTGGTTTATTGTGTGTAATTCTGACCCAGTTCTCCACAATATATTTCAGTTCCCCCTGTGGGTTCGTTGTGTGTCATCGTGACCCAGTAATCCACAATGTATTTCTATTCCCCTGTGGCATTATTTTTTGTCTCCTCGTGACCCAGTCCTCCACAATGTATTTCATTTCCCCTGTGGGTGTATTGTTTGTCATTGTGGCCAAGTAATCCAGAATGTATTCCGTTCCCCCTGTGGGTATACAGTGTGTCGTCGTGATCGAGTCCGCCACAATGTATTTCCGTTTCCCTATGGGTATATTGTGTGTCGTCGTGACCCAGTCCTCCACAGTGTATTTCAGTTCCCCTGTGGGTATATTGTGTGTCGTCGTGACCCAGTCCTCCACAATGTATTTCCGTTCCCCTATGGGTATATTGTGTGTCGTCGTGACCCAGTAATCCACAATGTATTTCCGTTCCCCTATGGGTATATTGTGTGTCATCGTGACCCAGTAATCCACAATGTATTTACGTTTCCCTGTGGGTATATTGAGTGTCATCGTGACCCATCACTCCACAATGTATTTCTAGTCGTTGAAGGTAATAGTGAACACCTTAAAATCAGCCCCTTCGTAGTTTCTAAATCTATTGAAAGAATTTGTGGTACAGTTAGAAATGGCACTCGTCTCCGCTCCCGTTCCCTGCTTGTTGGATGTGCAAGGGGAAAGCAGTCTCAGGGTTTATTAAAGGCACTACAATTCTGCAAACACTGAGATAGTTGTGTCAGTGCACAGAACTCTAAATTCATGTTGAGGCATTGTCCGAGATCGTGCTAAGACATATCCGAAGAGGAAATAGTGACAGAACTACAGACCCAAGGTGTATCATCAGCGAAACGATGTATAAGGAAAGATGGTGATAGTATATATATAGATATTGATAGTAAGTACCAATACAAACCTGTTTACCTTTGCCCTCACAAAGATCCCTACATCGATCAAAGTTGGGCATTTCAATATCGGAGTTGATGTGTATATTTCCAACCCACTCCGTTGTTTTAAATGTCAACAATTTGGGCATGGAGCAAAATCTTGTCGTAAACATGACAAGTCTCCTTTATTCCTCTCAAATCTGGTGATGGTTGTCAAACTGCTATTAGTTGGGTATCCAACGATCAGAAATACCGTATCCAATCGATGCTATAAACATTAACTCTTCATCAGCTTCGCAGACCGAACCTGTCCCTGAACCTGTGATTGAATCTGATTGTATGCTTGAAGGGAAAACGAACAGAATTCTAATTGCGAAAGAACGAACAAAAAACAACGGAAGAAAGAAGCAACGTCCCTAAAACATATTCAGGACCCGTCATGGGTGGCTTTCCCAATATACTACAACTGAATTGTAGATGAGTTTGGAACAATTTAAACCATCTTCAACTTTTAACCAAGGATTTCAAATCATCAGCATTTTGTCTACTAGAAACTTTTCTCCGAAGGACAGATAAATTTGACCTAAGACATTATGATTCATACCATAGCTTTTCTCCTCCTTGGGGATAAAGCTACGGGAGGTTCTTATGTTTGGTGAGGCAGGGCATCATTCATAGTCCTGTTCCTCTCCCTACCCCTCTCCAGGCTGTTGCAGTTCGTATGGCATTAAATGTTCTGTGTACATTCCGCCGTCGAATTGTTTACACAGTCTGATCTTCAGGAACTGTATGACTCTGTCTTATCATGGAGATTTTAACGGTCATAACCCTCTTTGGGGTAGCACTGACAGCAATACAAGAGGTAAAGTACTGGAGGATGTTTTCTTAAACAGCATTTTTTGCATATTTAATGATGACTCTTACTCTTGTCTGAATTTATCCATTGATGATTCTAATTTACTGAGTGAATTTGAATGGTCAGTTCACGATGTGGAAGTGACCATTTTCCCACCATATTAAAATCTGTGACACCGTCTGATGTATCTCCGTCATCACGTTGGAACTTTGATAAAGCTAACTGGGCTTTGTATGAAATTCTTTGCTCTAGTAATGTTCCTGACCTATAAACTCTACTCTAACGAACTTCACAGAATAGTTGATGATTGGGTTCCGAAGTCCTCTTCAAATCTTCACATCCGTAAACCGTGGTTCACTGCTAACTGCAAATAAGCTAGGAAGAAAACTTAACAGTATTTCCGTCACCATCCGATGGTCCATGATTTAAATAAGTATACAATTATAAATGCTAAAGTCCTGTGTGCCTTTATACAAAAGAAATGCCAATCATGGTAAAATTATGTTTCAAAGATAAATTCACGTACCCTGATCTCAAAGGTATAGAACATAGTTCAGAAAATTAAGTTGTAAGTCCAGAAAGTAAATCTTAATTCAGCATACACCATCTCAAAACTGGAGATCAATTATCAACTGAAAGAAATGGATATCGCAAATAACCTGGTTGAAACACTTGCGAAACATTCTTCCTCCAGTATCTATGTTCCTAACTTTCAAAAATACTAAAAGGGGAAGATTATAACGAAATCTTCACTATTTATGAGCCCCATACTGCTTTAGAACAAGCTCATGATACTGATGCAGCAGCTGATAATATTCGTTACCAACTCCTGAAACACTTACCTGAAGCATGTTTAGAGACACTGTTGAATATTTTTGATGAAATTTGGTAAATGCCCTTCCTTCTGGCATGATGCCATAGTTGTACCATACCCAAATCTGGACGTGATCATACCGATCCCTCTAATTATAGACCAATTTCGGGGTCGGTGTGGTAGCTTAGTGGTTAAAGTGTTCGCTCGTCACCCCCCGGGTTCGATTCCCCACATAGGTACGATTTTGTTGTCCCCCCGCCGTGATATTGCTGGAATATTGCTAAAAGCGGCGTTAAACTAACCTCACTCACTATAGACCCATTTCACTACTTATAACTAGCTGCGTTTGCAAAACCATGGAATGCATGGTAAATATCAGATTTACTTGGTACTTGGAATGTAATAATTTAATCACAAATATTAAATCGCAGTACCATTGACCATTTGGTGCGATTGGTTAAAATTGTCATTATAAATAAGCAATATACAGTGTCTATCTTTTTCGATCTAGAAAAAGCATATGACACTTCGTGGAAATATGGTATTTTAGTCTGCGTGGGTTCTACCCTGTCTGATCACTATGAACACCACCAGGGTGTCCCAAAGTTAGTATTTTGTCACTTTATATATCATTAAAATTTACAGTTTAGCAAACGTTTTAAATGATTCAATTGATGGATCACTTTTCGTGGATGCTTTTCTAAGTTCTTGTTGTGGGAAAAATATAATCGTAACAACACCTTGAAACATTGTCTTTCCATGTCATAACATTTCATTCGCGGCAGTAAAAGTTTAACACTGGTTCTGTTTGTGTTTTGAGTGTCGCAATACATTTTGCCGTTGAAGATGTGTGTTGATTTTCCATGCAATGGCTCAGGTGATGCACAATTTTGATGTTTATGAGTCTTTGAATGCCCGTTAGAATTCATACACACAAAGGTGTAAGGATCAAAATCTGTGATCTATAGGACACGACGTTTTGGAGTATATACTGACTCCATCAATTAAGAATATACAGCAATGGCGCCAACAATGGCAAAGAGAGAGACGTAGGCAATAAAAGGCGATATTCTATGCGGAAGCTGAAAGAACTCTTTGGAAAAAGACTGATAGGTATAAATTTCAACACTGTGTCATGACCAGAAATATGAACCAGATGACGACTTTTATATTTTCCATTTCCTCTTTATGTACAGTCCCTCGGCCGTTCAAGGATGTCTGTTGTCGAGGACCACGACGTAGGAGGTAACTCTATCAGCTTCCTGGAGGTCGATGGCTTTCGGTAACCAATCGTTGACCCGGAAATAGTTAAGGGCATGTCGCAGCTGAAGGTCAAAGATGACGATATATTACTACTGGCATATCCCAAATCAGGTATCTTCACTGGTATATGCATAACACACCCAAAACCATACTAAAAACTGATATTTAAGGTGTGGGTGATAAATCGATGATTACGGCAAGTACTGAAACGGGGTTCAGTGTTGTAGCCGAGTGGTTGAAGCGTATACTCGTCACGCCGAAGACCCGGCTTTGATTCACCACATTGGTACAATCTGGTGTCCCCCTGGTGATATTGCAGATTTATTGGTAAAAGCGGAGTAAAACTAAACTAAACACACACATCCTTACCGACAAACCACCCCCTGTTACAAGTCAATAGCTCTCTCTGGTGTCTCCCCGCCGTGATGTTGCTGGAATATTGATAAAGGCAGCGTAAAAACAAAACTCAGTCAGTCAGTCTCTCATTTGATCAATCCAGGTGTTTCTAAAGGTCGAAAATCACGTATTCATGCGCATGTTCTTGTTGACATTGATGTTTGTGTGGAGGACATGATTATAGGTTGTTATGTTGATGATCTAGTATAGCCTTGATTAATTTCAAGATGAACACATCATGTCCAAGAGAATACGGTCCTAATGAGTACGTGTTTGCCATTTTACCATGGTACTATCAAATGTAACAAAAGCAGTGCCTAAAGTAGATGCATCATGATTCTTAGGTTAACACACTGGCTTTGGGAAATCACTTCCATGCTGCTCCAGGGTAAAGCAGAGACCGTCCCTCACTGGAAGAGTAAAGTCATGGTGGAGCTCCAGCCACAGGAAGTCATAGACGCATTCCCAGGATCCCCTCGTGTCCTCAACACGCATGTTCGGTACAACCAACTTCCGGTACAAGCAAGAGAGAAGAAGTGTCGCATTATCTTTGTCCTGAGAAATCCTAAGGATGTTGTTGTGTCCTTCTTTAACCACCACAAGTCATTCAAGAATCTATATGGGGAGTACAATGGATCTTTAAAGGATTATCTCCCTTTCTACCTGGCTGGGAAAAGTAAGTCATTTGTCATTTCTTTGTTTTGTTGTTTAACGTCGCACTCAAATAATATCCAAGATATGAGGAAGGCACATATACGAGTCGGACCAGACATTCCTGTGATTCATATTGTTAGCAACTAGTCGTGAGTTCGGGGTACGATGAGAAACTAACAACCCCGTCAGCGATCTTTAAAAAAACATATGTCTATTTACTGTGAATATTTTCAGCATGAATTCTTCATCTGGAGCAGATCCTCGCTAAGGGTTCGACCTTTTGATATTCAGGTCACAGAACCTCTTTTCATCTAGTTACTGGGGTCTGATGTATTTCAAGTCAAAATCTGGTCATTTCAGTAAATTTTAGTCCTTACCGATTTAAGCAAACAATAAACTGAGTTCTGAATTTTTGTGACCCATCACGTCAGACAGCAAAAACACGACAAATGCGAGGAAATGCGAGAGCTGACGGCAGTTTTAAGCTTATCACATGACAGTCACATGCATAACCTACAAATTCAATATGGAAGATGCTTATGTCGCGTGGAATGCAGCTCGTGAGGACAACGATAGACTGACTTAATTTTCATAAGACTGCCACGTAGAATACAAAGTGATGAATAATTTAGGCACAGTCAGTGTATCTTATCTACCAGCACCATTGCCCTCTTGCAGCGGACTACGGATCCTGGTTTGACTATGTCCTTGAGTGGGAGAAGGACATCGAGGCCCAGCAAGACCGACACCCTATACACATAATGTACTATGAAGACATGAAGCAGGTCAGAGATTTCACAGCTTATGTTAACAATGACATGGTTATTCCTAAGTTGAAACGAAAACCTGTGAGAAACAAAACGATCAAAAGACATACAAATCACTGCAAAGGTATCAAAGAGGCAGCGTGAGTGAGTGAGTGAGTAAGTGAGTGAGTGAGTGAGCGAGTGTTGCTTTAAGCCGCATCAGCAATAAAACCATACGATTTAAAGTGACAGTACAAATTCAAGAGCAGTGATTATTCAATCCAGAGTATTCAGGGAATAATGATCATCACACTCAAAAATGGTGTCGTAACTTGAGATGTAATTTGTGATAAGAGGCAATAGCCAGCTCCCTGTATATCCGGGGGTGGGGTGGTGAGGGTATAATCCTCATACAATCAAGGTCTACCACTTCATTCGTTGGTTGGTGTTTAACGCCACACTCAGCAATAATCCAGCTATGTGGCGTCGGTCTGTAACTAATCGAGTCTGAACCAAACAATCCAGTGATCAGCAGCATGAGTATCGATCTACGCAACTGGGACACGATGACAAGAGCCTGATCATCCGATCATGGTAGTCGATTCTTAGGACAAGCAAGACTCTTGTCGGGTCATTCCACTTGAAGAAGAGTGAAACCCACCTATAATCGAACCCCAAATCCCCGGTTTCTGGCTTGAAGAAGAGTCCCAACTCTGATAAGTGAACTGAGATGGGTTGAAAGCCTGGGCCAACCATATCCTCTTTTAATACCAACATCAAGATAAACATTTTGTTGAATAACCATGCATGGTCTTGTCCTCAGAAGCCCTTGGAGGAAATCCGGAAGTTGGCAGTGTTTCTGGGAGTACCTACTGATGACTCACTCTACAGCGCCGTGGCAGAGAAATGTTCCTTTAAGAATATGAAGGGCGACAAGGAACCATACGATCCAAAGTTCAAGGGCCAACTTTTTGTTTACAGGAAAGGTAAGCCAAAGGGGTCAAGGGTATATAACTATATAGATGCTTTTGTTCGTTTCGCTTCTTTTATAACGACGCACTACCGACACATTTCGATTTGTAGAGACTTTGTGCAGGCATGTCTAAAACTCAACCTCGAACCGATTTGGGCGGTGGGGTAGTCTAGTGATTAAGGTGTTTGCTGGTCACGCTGAAGAGCCTGGTTCGATTCCCAATATGGGCATAATGTGTGAAACCCCTTTCTGGTGTCTCCAGGCGTGATATTGTAGGAATATTGCTAAAAGCGGCGTAAAACCATTAGTGTTTGGAATTGGTTGAAATCTCACAATTGATGATTGCTTCATTACCAACGAACAATCATCGAAACAAATTGGTTAGCATCATTTTTCAGATTTTCATATCCAGGTTGTTATTGCAGATAGGTATAAGATGATGCAACCTGCTACTTTAAAGTGATGACTAATATATCATGACCACAAACTTCCTGGAGTCTTCAAGAAATATTCAGTCATGACTTTTCAGTTAGTGAAGTGAGTTTTCTAAGAATTAAACAAGTTTGCAGGACCCCACAACTTCGAAGATATGTTCCATCGTCAAGTGTTTTAAAGACTAAAACAGCAGTTCCAAAATCGTTTGTGTTCGATTATGAGAAAATGTGATCGATTGCTTGGTCGTTTGGTCACGGCGACCAATCTTCGATTATTTCAATTAATCGGAACACCACTACTCACTTGAACCATTATACGTTTTCTCATAACATGTGTTCATTTGTCCCTTCCTAGTGTATAAAAAGTACATGTTTTCTGAAAGTCTCATGAAACATTTTCACCACCAATTACCACCATGTCGTGAGTGAATAAAGTTTAACCACGATTTTAGAAATTTTCTAGCTGGGAACACCAAAAATATTGGCATCACACATTGTTCCCGTGTTGGAAGTTTAAATCGGGTGTTTATCATGGCAGCGAACACTTTAACAACAAGGCTATCCCATCGCCCCTCTTGTAGTGAGTTTCTTATTTTATGTAAGTTTGACATTAGAATCTTCTGGTAATAATCCCTGTTTACACTTGTCCTTTAATTATATTCAAATACACTCAAACACTGCAGTGACGAAACTTCATATGGCTTGCGGTTGTCTCGAAATACAATCATCATCACTTTTAGGGTTGAGCGTCTACTTCTAGAGATTCCAATTTCGGGGATTATAATGAGAAGAACATGTACATTTCCCGAGTGGTATACAGCAGGTATACCAGGCATGATATCAGACGTTGTTAGAAGTTTTTTAAGAATATTAATTAGAAATCAAAGTCGTGCTCTTACATTCAAGCCCAAGACTCACCCCCACCCCATCCCCAACATGCTTGTCGTGACTGACAGGACTGACAGGACTCCCAATTGCAAATGTCGCTACGCATGCTGGATTGTCTGGCCCAGACTCAGTTTTTTTACAGACCGCCGTCATGCTGGTGGAATATTTGTGAGTGCTACGTTACACAATTGTTTTCTTCCAGGGCTGTCAATGTGAACTCTGCATTGACTGTGTTCCTCGTTCCAGGCCAAGTGGGAGACTGGCAGAACTGGCTGACACCGGAACAGAACGAGATGTTTGACAAGTTGTACCAGGAGAAGATGAAGGACAGCAAGTTCAAGGACAAAATCAGGTTCACGCTTACATAGGCACATTGTAGGATATGACTCACAACGTATACTAAATGGTACATATAATGACGGTATAAATACACAGTAATCACTACCCCCATGGACACAGCCAACGCTGTAGTAGCTGCTGTTCTAGTTTACAGATTTTACCCATATTGTACGCAGACCAAACGGAGAATGAGAAATCCGATCTCAAGCACGCAGGCTTGTAGTCATTGTAGCCATATTGTTCAAAGCGAAAGAATGCATCGTAAACCAACCTCAGTATTACTTCAAGCTTGACACGCTAACTTGATATTGGCAAATACAAATGGGTATCTGAAGTTTCACTACTGTATTTTCTTTTGGTAGTATTGGACATGTAGTTGGAGATAAGAAGATAATTAGTGGCGATACAAAGCAAAGACCAGTTGATATGGATATCCTATCTATCCACTTACGATTCCAGTTCAACCAGCCATACACATATTCAAAATACAGGAAACCCGTGAAGATACAGGCTAGAATTAGTCTTCAGCAACCCATGCGTTTTATAAAAGGCGACTAACGGGGTCGGATGATCAGACTCGCTGACTTGGGTCAAAAGAAGTCTCTTTTAAAGAGGCCCTGTTGTTGGGCTGTATCACAGCTGACAGGGGTGAGTTGAAATTGGGTTTAAGGTCGTGCTTGAGAATATTTCGCTCATATGACAACGTGCATGCGTGTGTATGTGTATGTGCGGCTGCTTGTACTACCCAAGACTTAAGCTGATTTTATAGTGCTAGCCCACTGAGATATCATGCCGCAGTGAAGCATGAATACCCGACTCAGTCACATTATACTGACTCCGAGCCGACAGTCCTTGATGTACCCATTAATGTCGAGCGCCAGGCAGGGACCAACAAGTACCATATTTTAACGTCTTGTGGTATGACTCGGTCGGGGATCGAACCCGCGACCTTCCGCTCTCCGGGCGGGCGCTCTAACCACTATATCACGGAGGCGGTCCAGATGACAGAGGGTAATCTTTAAATTTGGAGAAACTGATAAATACTACGTATTCTTTTGAATGTAAAAAGATTGAACGTTTAGGAAGAGATATTTTTCAACTATTGCTGACAACAATATATGTAACCTGGGGCTAAGAGTTTACGGTCAAATCAACTGTGAACAATAATAATGTTGATGCTGACGTGACATTAGAATTTATTTTATGTGAATTTCATTCACTTTACAACTTTAACTCAACAATTGGAAATTAAAACGGTTGGATGTCGGATTGTGTTGTGTTTTTTTCAAAATAAGATATTAACTACATGTGAGTTGTCAGCGTCGTCTCTAAAACCAAAGTGTCCTCCAACACATCGGCATCGTTTGAGTTGCTGATTTCAACAGGGTTGTTGGTCTGACCGTATCGCGTTTTGAAAAATCATTTATATTATTTATTTGTTTCCTTCTGGGACAAACGTCTTGCACCAAGACATATTATTCCCATTTGTGTTTGGCACCATAGCTTTGGTAGGACACAGAGGTATGATACCTCTGATGAATGGCATGATCTTGGTTGGCTGCCAGGAACAGAACCCTTCTGACACTCTGGGTAATGTAGTGGACAACTGCTGTCCAGATTATTCTTGGTGTGTTTGACTACACAGCGCTTCCTGGGAGACGTCCCATGAACTGTCTTGGTTGCTAGTGATAGGGCAAAGGTCCTGAGCTCATGATGACAGTGCCAGGAGATCCCGAACCCTTTATGTCCCATCTGTTTTAATCAGTGCATTATAAACCAGAAATAATGAATGTACATAATGAATGTTCTCCATAAAGTCAATGAAGGCGCAAAGCACTGGCATTGTATCTGGTCAAAAGGTCATTGTACACTCTATTTCCGTATACTGGGGAGTATATAACCAACAAAACTATGTATTTTAGAAGCATGTAAATGATTCGTCATAAGTTCCCATGTGCCAATGTGGGAATTGGAAGCCAGCGGTTTATTCACCCTGCGCCAAGAGATCAGGAGGTACCAAACCAAGGGCACCAAGAACAATGGGTAGTCTGACGACAGTGTACTTGGGACCAAAGCAAGACATTACAAAAGCGAGGTCCGCATATGCATTCAATAACACGGATAAATTCATTCAATTTTAAGAATACAACAGGTTTGTTGGCAGGAATTTGTCTTCTGCTGTAGATGGACCTATTCCATACAGGCACCATTTTCCATGACGCCCTGGACATGCTGAGGCTCAGAGCAACAAGCATGGTTAAGGCGGTAATGGAAACAACGTCTAAGATGTGCTGTTTGTGCCAAGGAAGAACGCGCATACTTCATCCGGGCGAAGGAGTCAGTTATACTGCTATTCTGTTCCACACACTGCATTTCTGTTTCTAAGACATCTTCTCCTCAAATGACCGACTCTGGGCAGACTTGGTGAATGATTTCACCTGGTTTTCTACCATCGCCGTACCGTCCAGCAATACATAAACGGCATAAACAAAATCAACCTTAACTTGATTCTGTCCAACAGCCTTGAAATGGTTAAAATAGCTCAGAATGTTCTAGCGTTTCATCAGATATATAATGGACTTGTAAAAGCAAACATATGGATCTCTGGACAAAGAATTAGCAGTAACATTGTCGCCATGTACTTCTCAATAATTAAATAACAAAACTCGTGTTTTTGCGTACAGTGGTATGGAAGGATGGAGAGGTGTCATGTGTTTCGAAGACAATGCATCGTGTACATCGCCTACAAGATAAGAAACATACAACCCTACTACCCAAATTAAAGATGTTAAAACATTCTTATTCCAACTTGTTTGCTAGGATCTGTGGTAATCCCCGTGCTAATGATATGGTTGGTAGTTCTGGAAACATTTGCTGTTGCATTTGAAATTTTGTAATGGATTTTCAATAATCTGCCTCTCGTCATTGAGCCTGAGCCTTGAGAATTTAGTGGTAACTGCTTCAGAATCTGGGGCACCTTCGTGAACTCTTTTTTAAACAGTTTCTGGTTCCTGGTTATTGAGTTATAATTGTTACAAAAACGGCTGAATAATATAGCTTGTAATGCACACGTCATGTATGACGATATTGAAATGTGATCTACGATAGGAAATATATAGTCATATTTTCAATTCTTAATGTGACTAATGAAATCTTCAAAGTTTAATCATATATTCATGTGCCAAAACATATTTTCAAAGCCTCAATAACGCATACATTTGTCGACGCATGTGAGAGAGCTCACTGACATGCAAATCTTTATCCACAAACCAACCCGTTACCAGTCAAAGCACCCAATAGTATACGCATCCTTCCCCCAAAATAACCTCTGTCACAAGTTTCACTTCAACCTTTAAATTATTACAAGTCAAATCACCCAATACACCCTTACCGACAAACCATGCTGTTACAAGTCAATTGCTCTATCGCTCTCTCTCTTCCTGTCGCAATGTGTGAGATTATACATGCCAACTAGTAAAAGGTTTGAAAACTATTTTGGAATGATTACATCAAATGACTGTGAATTATCCTCTCCCTACGCCGTGTGGCAAATGTGCATGTCTCACATGGATTGCATGTCCCCGGGATATGAGGTTAGATACTGTTTGGCCTTTACGCCAATGATTGCAGCAGGAAAATGTCAAGTGCAGCGTTAAAAGTCAAACTACAGTCAGACAGTGGAAGGTTGCCTTGGCGAAACTGTATAGACCCCAGTCTGTACACCGTACGCCTCACTATTTGCGAGGTAAGGACGCTCACCATACATTACTTATCTCCATGAACAGATGATCTTATTCCATGATTTTATTAACATGATTCTGTCTGCATCGATGAGCTTGACTTGAGCTACAGAGATACACAATCACATATAACCAAAGCAACTATTTAATGGGAGCTTACCACAGAAAGTGTGCGTGTGTCAATATACGCTATGTACAGAGCCATGTACCCTGTCAGATCAAACTGATCAGTAAAGGTTGCTTGGGTTATTTTCGTCCGGAATATTCACTCATGGTTCAAAATATAATCGAACTCAACTTTGGTTAGTTGAATTGGTGTCACCCTGTTGACTCGTTGTATGTCATCGCGACCCAGTACTCTACAGTGCGTTTCAGTTCCCCTGTTGGCTCGTTGTATGTCATCGTGACCCAGTACTCTACAGTGCGTTTCAGTTCCCATGTTGGCTCGTTGTGTGCCATTGTTACCCAGTACTCCACAATGCATTTCAGTTCCCCTGTTGGTTCTTTGTATGTCATCGTGACCCAGTACTCTACAATGTATTTCAGTTCCACTGTTGGTTTGTTGTATGTCATCTCGACCCAGTACTCCACAATTCATTTCAGTTCCCATGTTGGCTCGTATGTTATCGTGACCCAGTACTCCACAATGCGTATCAGTTTTCCTGTGGGTTCGTTATGTGTCTACAATGCATTTAGGTACCCCCCACATATGGATTGCTGAGTGTCACCGTGACAGGCCCTTAAACTCCCTCAGAGATGGGATCGTTGTGTGTCATCGTGAGTAGGGACTCCATATGACCCAGGACTTCACAAAGCACTAAATGCTCACAGATGTGTTCAACACGTTTGTGAAACATACTGGTAGGTAAGAATTTCTACCCTGTGACATGAACACAACCATGAAACAAATAACGACATATATTCCTCATTATCGGACCACGACATGGGAGGTAACTCTATTAGATTCCTGGAGTTCAATGGCTCTGGGTATCCAATCGTTGACGCAGAAACAGTCAAGGGCATGTCGCAGCTGAAGGTCAAGGACGACGATATATTACTACTGGCATATCCCAAATCAGGTATCGTCACTACCGTGATATTGCTGAAATATTGCTAAAAGCGACGTGAAACTAAATTCACTCACTCGCTAACAAATATAACAGTGATATATAATAAATGCCTAACGACCCCCAGGTACACACTGGCTTTGGGAAATCACATCCATGATGGCCCAGGGGAGACCATCCCTCACTGGAAGAGTAAAGTCATGGTAGAGCTCCAGCCACAGGAAGTCATAGACACGCATGTCCGGTACAACAAACTTCCGGTACAAGCGAGAGAGAAGTGTCGAATTGTCCTTGTTCTGAGAAATCCTAAGGATGTTGTCGTGTCCTTCTTTAGCCATCACAAGTCTTTCACGAATCTATATGGGGACTAAAATGGAACTTTAAAGGGTTATCTCCCTTTCTTCTTGGCTGGGAAAAGTAAGACATTTGTCATTGGTTGGTTTGTTGTTTAACGCCACATTCCAACGTTATCCAGTTTATCGAGGATGGTAAATAGATGCACATGATTGAGTCTGGACCCGACAATCAAGTGATAGACATTGTTAGCAACCATTCCCACCTCTTGGGGTACATTGAAACGCACATGACCACACCACCAAGATGGAGTCAATCCACAAATTTGCAGAGAACAATTCTAGCACGAAATTCCTACCGAGGTGATCCTGACTAAAGGTTTTCCCATTTGATATTGGTCTTCAGCAACCCATGCTTGTCGTAAGAGGCGACTAACATTATCGTTTAGTCAGGCTCACTGACTAGGTTGACACGTCATCGTATCGCAATTGTGTAGATCGATGTTCATGCTGTTGATCACTGGATTGCCCTGTCCAGATGCGAATATTTACAGACCGCCGCCATATAGCTGGAATATTTCTGGCTGCGGCGTTAAACAACAACCAAACCAACCAAACTGATGTTATCATTTTAAAAAAGACTTCTCAGTTCCCGATGTCAGGTGTATATCATACATATGGCAGCAATATTAGTACCCTTTTGCAGCGGACTGCGGATCCTGGTTTTACTATGTCCTCGAATGGAAGAAGGACATTGAGGGCCAGCAAGACCGACACCCAATACACATGATGTACTGTGAAAACATGAAGCAGGTCAAAGGTTTCACAGCTTATGTTAACGAAATGAAAAGTACAAAAATATGTGTCAACAAAAAGCTTTGCGATTTAATCAAACAATGAACTGAGTTCTGAGTTATTGTGAGCCATCTCGTCAGACAGCAAAAACACAGGAAATGAGAGAGCAGACGGCAATTTTGAGCTTATTATGTGACAGTAACCTGCATAAACTACAAATTGAATATGGCAGATGTTTATGTCGCGTCGTACGCAACGATAAACTGCTTTAATTTTCAAAGACCGTGACGCAGAATGCAAAGTGACGAATAATTTAGGCACCAGCTTGTGTTGCTGATTACCAGCATTATTACCCTCTTGTAGCGGACTAAGGATCCTGGTTCGATTATGTCCTCCAGTGGGAGAAGGACATCGAGGCCCAGCACCGCCGACATCCAATACACATAATGTACTATGAAGACATGAAAGAGGTAAGCCCTTGTGTTGTTATTGTGTCTGGCTTCCAGCCCTTGTGTTGTTATTGTGTCTGGCTTCCTAATCCCCATTGTACTGTACAAACATCTGCTCTAACTTGTATATATGCTCCTTCATCCTTATGTTGTTCATCGGGGCGGTGGGGTAGCCTAGTGGTTAAAGCGTTGGCTCGTCACGCCGAAGACCCGGGTTCGAATCCCCACATGGGTACAATTTGTGAAGCCCATTTCTGGTGTCCCCCGCCGTGATGTTGCTGGAATATTGCTAAAAGCGGCGTAAAACCAAACTCAGTCAGTCAGTTATGTTGTTCATCACTTGCTTGATAACGGATAACCTACACCGAAACGTCGCTCTCACAGCAATAAAGAAGGTGTTCATCCATATATTGTTATCCTTCCTTACTGCTCAAACTTCTAAATGCCTCTCCAAGAAGTTAATTTTCGCAGAGTGTGATCACTGATAAAGCTTCACAAAAGAATTCTGTCACAACCCACATCTTCACTTTCTTCTTAAACACTACTCTCAAAAATATTTGTGCAATATAAAATTGTTTTTACTAAATCGAGTTTTGACCCAAAAAACCATCAGACTTAGTTTGAAGGGTCCTGTTCAGACCAGATTTAGTGAATCATTTGGCTGTAACGTCTCTTTGAACAGCTCCTGTTGATCCAGATCTGAGAGCTTTACCAATTTGGTAAAACCCTCCAGCATAGGCATGTTTAATACCATATCACCTGGATTCGAACCCACGATCAGAGAGGTCTGGCGTATCCCTGTAAAGTGAATTGCGATCGACTCCTTGGACGCCGGGAACTCTTTTCCAAACCACAAACCGGCTGATGACTCACTATACAGCGCCGTGGGAGATAAATGTTATTTTAAGAATATGAAGAAGGATAAAGAACCGTATGATCCCAAGTTCAATGACCTACCTGTGGTTTATAGGATAGGTAAGCTGAAGGAGCTGACGACATAACTGCTTTTGCTTGTTTCACCTGTTATGACACAAAGGTGAAGGTTTGATTTTGATTATAAATTCATGTCCAAATCTCTACCTTATACTTTTTTCTTTCAAAATGTTTTCTCTTCCTAACGATTAAAAGTAAATGTTTGGACATTTTTTCAACATTGTTGCAGTGTTTTTTTCCCCAGTTACTATGCGTTGTGATGGAGTATGGTTTTACTCCACTTTTAGCAATATTCCAGCTTGGGACACCAGAAACGGCTTAGTGAGTTAAAAATTAACGTCTAGCGGCTGAGTGAGTTAAACTTTAACGTCTAATCGGCAATATTTCAGCCATATCATGACAAGGATTTGAATGATAAATAACGTCAAATTATAAAACCCTGTCAACGAAGGACAGTAAAATAAGTATAGGATCACAGATATAGCTATAAAACTAGTATGAAAAACTAAAAACTATATTGACTTTTGCTTCCTTGACACTGGCATCCCCGATGATCTCAGTTAATCGCACACCTCAAACCAGGAAATGTTTTGTTGTTTTTTTGTTTCAGTTCGTTTTCCTTGACATCGTTTATTTCATTGGTGTTGTATTGTCATCAGCAGGTGTTCTTTTTCCTATGGAAACTGAGTGAAGTTCGGGCGACAGCATACACATAACATTTAAGTGTACATTATCAAAAGTTCGCAGAAAGTATTTCAATCATTTTAATGTTTAGGAAAAGACTCGTTTAGTTTTTTAAATTGCCTGTTTTTTCTGTCAGTATGACAGAGTAAAAACAACAAAAGGATCTTAAGAGAAATCTGCAACAAAAGAAGACGACTGGTTGGTTTGTTGTTTATCGCCGCACTATTCCAGTTATGTGGCGGCGGTCTTTAAATATTCGAATCTGGACCAGACAAGCCAGTGATCAACAGCTTGAGCATCGATCTATACAATTGGGATACGATGACATGTGTCAACCGAGTTAGCGAGCCTGACCACCCGATTCCGTTAGTCGCATTTTACGACAAGCATGGGTTACTGAAGACCACGGATCTTCACGGCTATGTCAAGAAGTTTCAGACGTTGTAACATACGTCTTGAGAAAATCACTTGATTTGGTAGTAGAGCTCAAAGACATATACAGTCAACAGCCCCTACTTTCAGGGGTGATGCTCAGTAAGCGACAGTGTCAGTGGGAACTTTTCACAGATAGTGTTCTTGGTTCCAGGAGACATGGGAGACTGGCAGAACTAGCTGACACCAGATCAGAACGAGATGTTGGACAAGCTGTACCAGGAGAAGATGAAGGACAGCAAGTTCAAGAACAAAGTCAGATTCATACTACCGTAAAGAGAAAACATATCAGGGTGTGTGAAATATGAGATCGTCAGCGATCGAGTAAACGAAAGCCACAAAACCCTTCCAT